AATAATTATATTTACTTAGTTTCATGTTGTTTTTAGAGCAAAGCCATATTACGTTATCTGTTGTGTCCACAGCAATGAATCAACCCCAAGATTTTAGAGTTGTAAGTCCATAAACTTACCCCTTTCCCACTGGGGGATCTTCATGAATAAATATGTAGAGAAACTAATTAATAGTTCACTCTTAATATAAATGCATTTAAGTATGGAGATTTCCCTCTATGTTATTTCAAAACATATTCACAAAGCAGTATTAATTTTTTAACCAAAATGTGCAAAGTGAAACATCAGCTTTCAGCCACGTGAAAACAGAGGCTAAGGACATCAAGAAAGATCAACTTCAGGTGGCTGAAAGTCAATGTTTCTCTCTGCACATTTTAGTGGTTGATACTGAAAGTATCTTATATATCTCTATTATTTGTTTATTTTGGATATTTGTGCAAAGCCACAAAAGGGCTATCTGTGCTAGCCTTTCCTAATTTTGAACTGTTATAGTAGTAGGAAGACAGCTAGTCAACAGCACCCACTGCAAACTCTAAGGGTACTCTAATCAAATAGTAGGATTCGACCATCATTCCTATAATGCACCCACAGCCCGAAAGTGTGGAGCATGATCTTTAGTCAATATGATGCAAGCCACGAACCCTTGGATTCACAGTCTGGTAAGGTAACTAATATGCCACACCTTATATACATTTAATATCAAAATAGTTGTACAAAAATTAATAAAAATAATTTTACATTTGAAAAAAAAAAGTGATCATCTGAGATTCTTTTAAGCTTTTAACATATTATATTGATTTTTAATGCTTATGACCTGATAATATTTATGAAGTACATTATTTTTACTGTAAAGAACATCATTACCAAATACCTTATCTTTAAAGCTTTATTCGTTATCTCAATGAAATAAACTTTCATTACTAGAGAAATTCATTGGTTATTTTTTGGTTATTTCTTTTTAAACTACTTTTCTCTACCATGTGAAGAAATTAAACTTTTTCAATTGAATATAGTACACTAAACAACAAAGACTTTTTAAATACAGACTAACCCTAACAAGAACAAGGTAAACTGTCTTAAATAAATCTTTAATATAGGAAAAACTACATAATTACTTAGAAATACTAATCACAAACATAAAACAAATCTCTATATCATTTACAAAAAAAAGCAAATATAATTAATCAGCAATAAACTATGATATATATTTGGTTAAGTATTACTTTTTACATAATTATCTTAAATTGGAGCAATCATATGATGCTTGTCAATTCTTATCACATCTATTTACACATATTTATGGAACCTTAGATAATTTTTATAGTAGGAAATCTGTCAACACATGCAATGGTTTTCTTCAGATACTAAAACATATACACACACACAGGACTAGAGTACATTAGAACAGCCAAGCCTTGTGAAACTTGGACAACTATTTTCAGTAGCAATTACTGTAACCACCAAACCTTTTTTTTTCAAGTCATAAAATAAATGTACTAATAAAGTTACTGTAGCTTCATTTTATTTCTGGCTATGTTACTAACTCAAACCCTTATAGGTAAAAAACAAAGAATAATATCATAGTAAAAAAATAATTATGAAATAAACACAGTATTTTAACTAAAGCCTGCTAGACACTTTTTGAGAATGTTTTTGGAATGATAACTATTCCACTCTTAACATTAAACCCTTCTCTTTCAGCAAATTTGGTAGTAGTAGAAGTAAGAAAAAGTAATAATAGCGACAACAGAACATTTCATTTGGCACAAAAATGTGCAAACAGAAATAACCAATAAACAAACCATGTACATATTTTAAAAAATTTAAAACAATTGTAAAAAGTATTATTCTCGCATCTTCCCTAAGGCACGTTCGTTCCCGATGTGCTTAACAGATCTTTTTCATTCTTAATAATTATTGTGTTATTATAATTCCATTCTTAACAAAACAATCTAGTAATCTGTAGTAAAGAATTTATATTCAAGAGCAACCAACAGAGAAGAATACATATTTCAACTCTTAGTATAAACATTCATCACACCCATAATACTTTCAAAATCTCTCTAAACTCCTATTTAAAAAGCATAAAATATTCTATAAAAAACATTTTTTTTAACAAAATAACATACTACAACTTTAATTTCTCATGATTAAACATTATGAGCTCTGATTAAGAAAAACTAAAACTCCATATACATTTAAACTGAAGATGTGGAGTTGAAATGACACTAGTCAGCAAAACTTGAAAATGAAAAAACTATATATCTTAACAAAAAATGCAGAAAGGAAATGTTAAGATAACAGCTGAGAGAAAAAACATGACATTATCACATACTTATAGCTGTCCATCCTGTCCAATCATAGTATTGGTCAGGCTCTTGTCATATTGTAGTGTCTGTCTTCTTAAAGCTTCACAGCTGTTTTGTTTGTTTCTTTTTTGTTGTTCTAGTTCTGCTTCTAGGAAAGGTTGCATATGCATTTATCTATAAAAGTTGAAAAAGTATAATTTCTGACATGAAAGAGATACACAAGTACTTGTCATAGAAATACTTTTGATATCACAAACATTTTATTAATTTATTTCAAATAATATCTCTTTTGACATACAATAGTATTCAGACTTAACTTGTATAACCCTATTGACTACATACTTGCAGAGTAGCAGAGTGCCCAAAATCTTTAGGGCACAGCCACCAAATCTCCAGAAATTTGTATTACATAATCCACATAAAACAATGATTTTATAGAGATTTTTGGTTTAGCACACAGCATACAGAACAATAGCAGTAGTACTAACAAAGATGATTTCTTCATTCTATAAAGGTATCATGTTTATTTGGTTTATCTTATTTTTTTAAATATGCTAAATTAATTTAAGGTACAATAAATTTTCATCCACCTTAAGAAATTATCTCTTCACCAAGTAGAAACGGTGCATTAACAATCATGATGTTTTGTGTAAAACTGGAGATTATCATCCCGATTTCTAGTAATATAAAGTAACATTTTGTTTTTGAGGGAAATCTTTGTCTACTGGCTAAGTTTTTTGTGCAAATTTTTGTGAGCATCTGTGACATTTCTGCACCCTTGTATAATTGTGTAATACTTTAAACACTCTGACATAGTAATAGTACAGAATTTAATTTGTGCAAAACCCATCAAAGATTAATCAAACTTACTAAATACATAAGAGTAAATTATGTGGTAAACTCACATCTGTGTGACTTACTGATGCTGTACGAGAGGTAGCTTGGGTAGTGGGATGAACTGCCACACGAACCTTCCGTGGTGCTTTGCTTTCACTACGAGTTCGTCGTAAACTATTTCCTTCATAAGTTTCACTAGTACTGGGAAGAAATAAAAGGTACTTCAGTTACCTCTGCAAGGATTATTTGAATATTAAAACTAAAGGGAGGATCTTGTAGCCTCTGTCTTCATTGGTTATAAAATGTGGTGGAAAACAATTTATACAATACAATTTATTTTAGCTATTATTTGTGAACATGTATGTAAACGTTTTCTACAAGTACATAACTAATAAAGTAACAAAATTTAGTTTTAGAAAAAATAAAACTTTTATTTCTTTCAAAATTATAAATAAACAAAAACTGTGCAAAACATGCTAAACTGACCAAAAACTAACAATTAAATCACCAATAACCTGCAGAAATATTTGGAAAATAAGCAAAAACAATAGGAAAGTGCCTCCTAAATCCTACTTCCCCCCTGTTTTATTAAAAGGTTAAATCATATATCTCAATAAAATTAAACAAACTTCTTCAAGATTTACACACCTTTGCAAGAGTAAAATTCATACCCTTCATAAGGCCTTTTCAACGCTCAAAAGAATTTTCCAGATCAATTGAAGTTTGCAGATGACATTAAGATTTTTGAGGTGCTAACTGTATCAAAGATGCTGCAGACTTCAAGGGAAATTTTGATCATTTGACGCATTGGGC